AAAACCAAAAACAAGCAAGCCAGAGTGTGCTAGCTGAAAGTGATCGACTGGGAAGTACCCTTCAGGTCTTTAATCAAATATAATCATTGTCGACAGATAAGAGAGTTGAACTGCAAATATAGGTTGGGAATACAAATATATTCATCTCATAGCAACTTATATAGCTTTTCTGAGATTGCTTTTATTGATACACAGAAAGCTATCGATTGAGTAAACAACTATAACTAAAAGGTTATCGATACACTTTAACTTAGACTTTAAATTTTACGTTTTCGAATTATGAAATTAAATTGCTCAGCAAAAAACCTCATTTTGATTGTAACAAACACTGTCCCAACTGCATTACACCCATTTCAAACATTTTCGATGGGTATAGAGTATTAAAAAGGCTAGAACCCATTTTGGGCTCACTGAAATATTTTTGTTGTTGTTCGAATTTTCAGTTAGGTCGTAAAATAATTGTCGGCTCATATAATAGGAGAGAGGAACAGTCGGAGACAGTGAGCTGGCAATAGAGCGGGACATATCACATTGGCCTCCCGGCTTACGGAGCAAGAACTGCCCTGTAATTATGATGAGGCCAATAGTACAACAAGAAACTGACCCTAAACGCAGTTTTTTTTTTTTTGCGGCCCCTAGTAATTAAGAAATCCTCTTTCGGTTTTTTTTAATACATTTATTTTATATGCCGGGTTTTATGTCGGGCAGCGGCAAAAGTTTCACAGAATTCTGTTTTGATGACTTCACTTAAAAGTCAAAATGGTCATACATGTGGATTATTATTATTATTGTTTCTAGTATTTTTTTTTTTTGGTTCTTGTTTTTTTTAAGTACAAATGTCAACTTGTTTTGGTTGTGTTTGCTTTAGCTTGTTCTTGGGATTGCGGCAACTACTGTTGTTGCCGTGCTAACTTCACATTAGGTAGAGGCCCTTTTTTGGGGGGCCTGCTGGGCGGTCAATTGCTTTTGACCCGAGTGCCCGGTGCCCGGTGCCCGGTGCCCAACAATTCGTGTGGCTGTCTGTCTGTTGTTTGGCTGGGCGGACACATCCGTTAGGTTAGCAGAGTTCGGGAAGTTCTGGAAATGATTTTCCTGTTTTGGTGAAAGCTCATTAGTTGTGTAATTGAGCGCTGAGAACACAATCGCTGCAGGATTGAAACAGCAGATGTTGATGTTGTTGCTGTTATTGTTGCTGATGTTGCACCATATGTTGCAACTTTCACCGAAAATAAATGCTTTGAAATACTCGCTGCTTTCCAAAATGCAATTTGCAATGGTTTTGGCCAATAATTGCAACTAATGCAACGAAACAATAGCAAAAGCAAGCAAACAAATTGCACAATTTGGTCGAAAGACATCGTCGCGTCTCTGTGAGCCCCACTCTGAGTCATGGTATAACCAGAAACCTATCATACGTACATATAAACATATATATACATATATATACAACATACAAACACACATATATCATGCATCTGTGTGTTAAATTGGGGCACAAAATGCTGAGATGACAGAAAAATGCTTTTGCAATGAGCGTACAACTGTTTAGAAATATTCTATAGATAGTTTTGTTGCCGCGTCATTTCCTTATCGAGACAACACCAAATGTCACCAGCAGCACCCACGGCATAATTAATTATCCCTAAGCTTCCCCACCGGATCCGGCTTCTGTGCGCCTTTTTCTAGGTTTTCGAATTTTCTTCGTTGTATTTTTTTATTTTTTTTATTTTGTGAGTTTTGTTGGGTATGTCATGCAGGTGCTGATAGCGCATGGCTGTGCACCCCTATAAAGCGAGTAGCAGAGCCATAAAACATTATCGCATGTTCCACACTTAGATCATCAAACGGGGGTTAGACTCTAGGCACAGGTTCATCACATAGTACAGCCCACAATAACAACGCGTCGTCACGGTTCGATGACAATGTAAAAAAAAATAAAAAAATGGATTTATATATATACATATATTACCAGAAAGAACAGTACACGTAGACAAAATACCCTTGCAGTTTAGAGTCCAACTGATCAGTTATCAATTTTTAAACTTGTTTGAAAATATCTTTCAAATAAATAAATTTATGTAACAAGGTTTGCAAATTTAACTGATTACTTAAACTGAAATTTAACATGACTTTCCTCAATAAATGTACAGTATATATGCGTTACACGTTTCTTCAAAAAATCCATATGCTTTTGGGAGAGGGAGTAAAAAATGAGCTCCGAATACTCCATGTATAAAGCCTGTGCTAAATGACTTTGTGTATTATTGTAAACGTATATATGTACATTTATATATTATATATAAAATGCGCACAAATTGCCAGTTGCCTGGCCAAAATGCTAGTTATACAAATTTTGTTTTTGCATATTACACTTAGCTAACTATATTGTTTTTAGCTGTTGCGACAACAATAGATAGATTAGAGTTGTTCAAGTTGAAAATATACAACTAAAATGCTTTGAAGAAGTAAGTTTGATAAAATTGTAAGCTTGCACTTCTGAAGAAGAACTTTTTTAAGTAGGTAAGAGAAAAATGTAAAAAGAAATAAAATGGAGGAAATATGTAGAGCTTGGTAATATAATAACGAATAACTTGACATTTAAAAAAGTGCATTCATATTGGTAGAAAAGTTAATTACCCTAGAAGTTTGAAATTCGGGGAAAAGCCATGATTGCAATTATGACAATGTTATTAATAGATAGCGTTCGGTCGTATGTATTTTGGTAAGATAAATGTTTCTGGTGCAAATAGATAAATATTTTGCCTGGTTAATTTTCAGTTCCTCAGCTGCTGCAGCTGCTCCTAAGCCAAATGGAAAGCCAAGCGATAAAAAAAGCTTAGCATTAGCAGCAGCAGCAGCAGCAGCAGCAGCAGCAGCAGCAGTTGGAGTCGCAGCGGTAACAGCTGCAGTTTGTTGCTGCAACTAATTGCATTTAGTCACCGGTCACCGGGAACAGATCGTCTAACGGTTGCTTCCGTTAAGCAGACGTTGCATAGCTATGAAAAAAAAATAATAAAAACGGCGAATGATTTTCCAACCAAATCAAAGCATAGAGCACCTAGTAACAATCTAAGTAACAGTAGCGAAAACAGTTTCCACATGAATGCACCTGCTGCCAGCACGAGCCTGAGATGTGGCCACGGCGGAAGTAGCGGTCATCGAAAAGGTTCAATCGAGGCCTAGTCCAAGTACTACTATATGATGCTGATGCTGATGCTGCTGAACGACGATTCCAATTGCTGATCATGACTACGATCGAGCCAAGAGCATCGTAATGAACAATTAGAGCCTGAGGTGCCGACACGTGGCTGGCAACAAGCGCAAACATCCGATTGCAATTGTCAATCGCTATGCGTATCTGTAGTATTCATATTATCTTTGCCATATAGGGAGATAGTTCCGGCGGCTCTTTAATAAGGGAGCTGTTAAGAAGATTGCTCTAAACGATCGACGCTTGTATATTAAAATTACAGCTCGCTGTAATGGTTGTAGTAGTTGCTTATAGCGGAAGTGGTGTACCTCGTCAGCAGGTTCACATGGAACGGGTCAAGTCGAGAGGCGACCGAAGTAATACCTACACACACACACACACACACACACACACACACACACACATACCAGCAATGACTTTAAATTCTGGCGAAATGTCGGAAGCGCAGCTCTTAAGCAATATCTGGCTTAATTAGCGGCAGGAGGGGGGCAGTGTGGGATGGGGTTGGGGGTTGGGGAGCTCCACATGGCGATGATTTGGCCAACGAAACTGGAGTCAGAAGCAGAGCGCGCTTCAGCTAATGATCATTGCAATGAGCTGAGCTGAGAGAGCGAGAGAGAGTGCGAGCGCTAAAGAGAAAGACAAAGAGGGAACGTGAACGTGAGAGCGACTGTGTAAGCGAGATGGCATATGCTGCACTATACGAACAGGTAATTACACCTGTGCTAATACGCTTCACTGAGCGCGCCATGTGCGAGCGAGACGAGCATAGTTGCTGCCGACACTGGTCTATTGGAGAGTAGCGCAGCCAGCGCCGCGGCGAGGTTACAAAAACCCTGTGCCATCACCGAACCCAGACAAGTCGCAAATTGGAACGCAAGCGAGCGACGTCGCGTTCTGCTACAAAATCGCTAACAGTGTGACCAGAGAAAAAAGAGTTGCTACAGAGAGAGAGAGAGAGAGAGAGAGAGCGAGCGAGAGAGTTGGCCTTGTGACTCAGTAGTCAGAGAGTTGGCCAGTCTTACCTTGTTGCTGTTATTGCTGCTGCTGCTGCTGCTTCTGGTGTTGGTGGCGCGTTTTTTTTTGTGTACGTCGCTTTTGGGTTACCTGTCGTGTTGGCCACGTTTGTGACGATCCGATCAGTGCACCGTCAGCGAGCGGCGCGCGCAGTTCGGGGCCCCAGCAACAGTCGCACAGCAACAACAAGCAACAACAACAACAGGAGCTATCGCTGAGAGAGCGAAAGATAGCACAGCAAAGTGTTAGATAAACTGATAATACAATAGAAAATAGAAATAGACACAGAAACGTGGCGCAAAAAATATACATGCATATACACAACACACAACCAAATCAAATGAACTACAAAAAAAAAGAAAAAAAAAAGAAAAGAAAAGAAAAACCCCAAAAGAAAAACAAAAACTACAAAGCAACAACAACATCAAAAACAACAGCAACAGCAACAACAACAACGTAAATGCTCAACGTCAACGGCAAACGGCACAGTGTCAATAAAACTCTCGAATTCATTAACACAACACAAAACGTTCTATTAGTAAGCACTTGCAAATTTGTACGAAATGAAATGGAGACTGAGACGGAGACGGAGACGAGTCGAGACAAGCAACAAATTAGCGTGGAGAGACCCTATCGAATGGCAAAGAGGAGCAACGCAACAGTTGAGAAGCGATTCAAAAGTCAAAGCTATCAAATAGAGGAGAGCGGTGCAAACACACATATTTCACAAGCTCAGAACTCAACACACAGAACACAGAACACAGAACTTAGACACCCGACCCGGACACAAACACAGACAGACACAGATCTTAAAGTGTTAAAGTCATAATAATAAAAACAAAGCTGCGATCGTGTCCTTGGCCTCTAAAGGGCAGGTGAGTTCAATATTATATTTCTGTTTCCTCATTCGCATACGGTTTTTATTTTATTTTATTTCATGTTTTTTTTCTGTTTCTGTTCTGCATCATTAATCACTGAACTGTAATAGATCTTTTTGTATGCCTATGTTAGATATAAGAGTCAAATATACATATACATTTTCAGTTTTGGAGATTTTTGTTTAAAATGGTAATGAACAGAAATTATGTTAGCATCATTTAAAATGGGGATTTACTTGTGTTCGATTAGCACCGGTTCATAGAAAAATATCGAAAATGGCATAATCTATTCCATATTTAATTTTGGGATCATTTAAATGGGCACTCAAAAGGGTTAGAGTGGTAAAAATTCATAGAGAAAATATTGAAATTTATTATCTATTTAATTGTAATTTGTATGGAATTAAAACGAAACTTACTTTCATGTCTAGTCAAAAGCAGATCACTTTTTTCGTTTTTTAAGAAATTTTACTATAAAAATTTAAAAAAAAATTGCTGAACTGAATTTTATATCAAAAAACCATCAGATATACCTTAAGTGGAAGCAAATATGTTGAAACTTGAATATTTGTTTAATACTTTATTATGTCATATTATGTGTATATTTTTCATTATTTAAAGGACCTTATGCTCTATTGCAAAAGAACATGTAAAACAGCAGCTCATTATTATTCAAGGACTTTGTGGTCTATTAAAGAACAACTTCTCAAACAGTATCTCAATATTACTCTAAAGCTGTGATTATTACTGAATTCTATACAAGGCTCATTTATAGCCAGCTTACAATTAGAAGCCTCCAGCGAGAAGACTAATAGATACAATCCAAAACTGTCTCTCTTTTCATAGACTTTGTGCTCCATCATTTCACATAATTTGTAACATAATGGCCCAAAAGACTCTGGCATAAGCATTTAGCGGCGCTTTAAACAAGTCAATAAACGATTAAAATAATGATTTTTCAAAAAAAATGTTCAATGCCCACACAAAAGGCAACAGGCCCAAAAAAAAACAGAAAAACAGAAATACTACAGACAAAAGGCAAAACCAAAAAAAAAAATTAAGATGAAGAAAAGGGGTAAAATTGAAATAATAAAAGGCAACTTTGGAGCAGCTCAACAGTGCTCGGCACTGAGCGCGTTTGTGGCTATAATTGCGAGCCAACTTGGCAAGTGACATCATTTTAGGCAACTTTTTGAATTTGGCAAACAAGTTGTTTGTTGCTGTTGCTGCTGCTGTGTAGTCACAGGTTCTTTGGGTTTAATTGCTATAACTTTATTAGGTTATCAGTGCTGCGTGTGTGTCTGCGAGTGTGTGTGTGTGTGCTGATTTGGATGTTTAGGTTGATGTTGAGCTATGTCTCATTAGCAACACGTGTGTGCCTGAAACTTGAACTGAGTTCACAGCTCAGCTTAATACACACATACACACATTAAACCAAATATATGTATATATATGTATATACATATATATATTTATACACATACACACACATACACACATACAGTTGCAATATCAATTACAGCATGCCACAGGAGCAGTCAGTGGAGCCAGTAACTGGTTTTTGTGTAGTCAGTACAGCAACGAGAATAAATAAAAAGAAGGAAGGAAAAAAAACTCATTGCTGTTTGGGACACCTCCTGCACATTGCATACACTCACACACAGAAACACACTCACACACAGAAACACACACACACACACACACACAAATACAGACACAGAGCTCCTGCAGGTTTCAAGTTGCATTTGCCTTGACTCGAGCTCTCCTAAAATGACCCAGAGCTATCGCCACAGTTGTTGCTGCTACAGCTTGCCACAGCCATAAAGTTGCAGCAGGAAACCCGAACAGCAACAGCAACAACAACAACAATTTGCAAACTCATGCCAGGCAGCCTTAAAAGGCCGCCTCATCCGCTCAACTCCGCTCCGGTACGGTCCGTTCTGACTCTGGCAAATAAATGTGCGTGATTTGTGTCTTGAGCGCAAGTGATGTGCCCACCACCAGCACGAGAGACAGGTGAGAGACACGGAGAGCGTCGTCTTCAGGCTCAAGCCTCTGACAATCCATCAGGCAAAAAGATACATAAAACACAACTAAACACTGAACACTGCGTTCTGTTGACCTCTCCAAAGAGTTAAAGAGCTACAGAATCCAACAGCCCATGAGCCTAAGTGCTCAGCTCAGAGTCAGGCTCAGCAATTTGCTGCCTCTGTTGGTGGCAGTTGCGCATGTCTAATTGCAGTCAAAGTCACTACACTTAACCAGGCAACGAGTCGTGTGAATCTGCCACCAGTGCAGCTCCTCTCAACTGTGATAATTGCTTGCGGGTCAAGCAGATGCAGGAGCACCAGCAGCAGCAGCGGCAGCGGCAGCAGCTGCCGCATCAGCCGCATCAGCTAAGTTGCAACTTAAACTTAAAGTTTAAGTAAAAGTTAAAAGTTCCTTTATCAGGCACTCTTGCAGACGTCAACAATTTTGAGAGCGCTTCGTTTCGTGCACGATCGCTACTTGAGAATGTTAACTTGCCACCGACAATGAGCTGAATTACAAGAAAAGAATCCAAGAAATGAAAAAAATATCTTTAAGCGGTAATGAACTAACTACAAAATGATTAGGCGGAAATTACGAGTAGGTAAAGGGTTCTCAGTGAAAAAATATGTTAAAAGCTGCGGCAATTTTTGGTTTAAAAAAAAGGGTTTACAGGGTATATGTAAATACTTCTATATATTTTAGTTGAGGAACTAACAGTAGGGATACGGTTAGATAAAATGACCCTTTTGAAAGTTGGATTTTATATTTTATCAAAATTATGGTTGACATTAATAAGAAATAAGAGCTACAAATTGTACATGCTCTAATAGAGGGAATTAAATTATGCCAGCAATTGGAATGAAATGGACGTCTCCAATCTACACATTCATGTCGCCCATGCTGATATATCTACATGATATGATATAATGATACTACAGAAATGTGGAATATTCAGATCACAAAAACGTAATATTTATATCTCCGAACTAAAATTTAGATGTCAGCAGATACCTCTGGTTTTCCAGGGTGTGTAATCTGTGGCGTGCCTAAAGGAACCATTTTTTCTTAACATTATAAAATTGTTAGAAATATAAAAAAATTGGTAATTTTCAGTCAGTCAAAAATAGTTCAGTTTTTTAGTAATTTGTTGTTTTTCTTTTTGTTTGAGCCAAATGTAGTTGGTGCCAAAGTGACTTGTCAGTTGGATGTGTTCTTTATTTTTATTTTTATTATTTTATTTTATTTCGATTTTTTTTTTTAATGTCGAGCACTTCTGAAAAGTTGCTGCGTTTCCTGGAATGGACCAGGGCAGGGCCTGCCAGGCCACACAATCTCTTTCTCATTCACTTTTTCTGTTGTATTTATTTTAGTTTTTTTCTTATACAAATGTTTGTTTTCACATTTTTTAATGCGTACAGTAGCGCTCACCTTTATGTTTAATGTGTGTTTTGTCTGTGTTGTGTTTGATTACTCTTAGTTTTCGGACAGAAGTTGAGAAATGTGTCCGAAAGTGCCTCTAACTGTTGGCGTTAATGATCGCCGTTGGCAACAAGGCCGGACGAGTTTTGGCGAATTTCTAATAGCCAATCAATTGCGAAAGGGCTGTCCGGCTACTGGTTGCATTCACGCAAATAACAAATGGCATCATTTAAAAACACATTTCGCCTGCTCATCATCATGCATGCAGTCAAAGTCAAAGTCAGAGTCCTAGTTGGAGACGAGGTCTCCATCTCCATCTTAAGTTGCTGTCGCAGTCGCAGTTGCAGTCGCAGTTGCAGTCGCAGTTGCAGTTGTAGTCGCTGCCTTATGCGCAGGTGCACAGCGGGCAGTAGTCACAACATAGCACTGCTCATATATCTTGGGGCAGGTGGGGTGGTGGTGGCGGTGTTGTCGGTGTCGGTGGTGCGACGGGTTGCCGGCTGCTTCAATTGATGCTGACAGCGAATGAAAGGCGCTGGCTGGTGACTGCAGAGGTCGCAGCACTAAAGACCGCTGGCTGGTCATGCTGCTGCTGTTGCTGCTATTGCAGCTCGTACTTCCTCTCCAGATGTGTAAACCAGTTTCGAGCCACGACTACGACGACGACTCCCCAGATCAATTCTAGCAGATTTCACTTTTTTTCCTGCTCGCCAACTCGACTCTCGACTGGGCCCTGTCAGTTTTTTTTTTGTTTTTTTTTTTGTTTTGCTGTTGTTGTTGTACGTTTTAAAGGTGCAGCTCGAACGGTTGCAACTGTTGCCTGTTGGCTGCTTGTCGTCGTTTTGTTCCTGCTACGTTCACCAGCTTCCAGCTACCATCCATTGGCTGAACTGTGGCAGCAACGTCTGCATTGCAATTTTTATCTGAATGAGTCGCGCAAACATGTTGTCGTTGTTTGGCTGTTGCATGCCACAAATGTGCGATTGGCATGTCAAAAGAATTATGTATTGATTTTGATTTTACGGAAGTATTCACGACGATCTTTGAACCAATTCCCTCCTCCCCACGAACAACATCACCAGCAACGCAACCATTGACAGCTACTCAAAAAAAAGAAAAAATAAATAAAGAGCAACCCCACCAAAAAGATCCACTTAAGCGCAACAAATTCAAACTAAATACGTGCAACATGGTGTAAAGGATAAACGAAAAAAAAGAAGAAAAGAAAACAAGTTTCAAGTGGTTGCAAGTGGGCGCCGTTTGGTCGCAAAATGAATGACACTAAATGCTCCTGACAGCGAACATTTGTCGGTGCCTATCGCAGCGGGGCAGTTAATTACATTTGCACGAAATTATGTTAGTTAATTGATTAAGCGTCGAATATTTTGAGCGCTTTTGATTAACCGAAGGCGCCCCTAACCACCTAACCACCTAACCACCAAGTGGGCAGTTCCCACTGCATACTTTTCTTAAAAGCCAAAGCCACACAAATTGCTGTATTTTCCTTTTTGGCTTCGGAGGCTCGCAAGTTGAGGCACCAGCTGAGGCCGTGTCTGTATCTGAAGAGCGTGGGTGGGTGCAGCCTCAGCTTCGGCCTCAGATACAGGCGCACGCTGCACAAGACAGAAATTTCTGTTGTAGAGGCGGCTGCTGTCTAAATATGTACATGGCCGTCGTTTTCGGGGGTAGTAGTAGTAGTAACATCAAATAACCCGAATCGAATCGTAGAGTTCGATTTGATAGCTAAACAGCGTTTGCCGTAGTAGCAATCAACAACGCATCGGCCAACTTTAAGTTAAAACGAAACAGTTTAAACCGATCAAGTCAGGCTTAATATGAACAAAAGTTATGAGCAGTTTTTCAATTTTCTATAATCATGTGATGAAATATTCTATAGGTGTCATTGTTTTTCAAATCCGAGAATTTTGTAAACAAAATTATGACAAGTATTATTTATTAATGAAGTTTTGTTAACTGCAGGCAATGGCTTGTGAAATGAGGAAGTGAATCACGTTTTGGCTTAATTGTCAATAAAAATAACGGACTTTATGAATCAAAGTAAGCAGTTTAAAAGTCAGACTAATCAGGCATTATTTTCGGTTACAACGTACATAATGTGATTTCCGTTTCGAGTACACGCCAGATTTAGATCGACGAGACGTAATAAAGATATAAGGAAAAGCGTTTAGTGGCATGTTAAGGGCTAAAACGAGCTACTTGTGAAATACAAAAAATATAATATTGCTGTCAGCTAAGACAACGAGCGAGATAGAGCAGAGGGAGAGAAAGACAGAGAGAGAAAGAGAGAGAGAGAGAGGCTGTTCATATCGCCATTGTTAATGCTTATTATTATTATTCCCAGTTGGGGATTTGTGTGTGTGTATGCCTGTTTGCCTTTTTATTCGTATAGTTATTAACCAACAGATACTCAGAATTAGTCAAAGGCAAACAATAGAACGAGTCGTTCTCATTGTCATTTAAAGCTTTGCCAACGCATTGTTCTCTTAAACCATTTTAATATTATTTTGTTGTTGTTAAAGCAATTGTTGCTGTTATTGTCGAGCGCCTCTTTTAATACACACACACGCAAATAAAATTATATACACGTCTTTTTTTCGTTTTTTTTTTTTTGTTAGAGTCACGTTTTTATTTTTGGGTTTTTAATGTTTGCCACATTTTATTCTGTTTGCTGACGAGTAAAAAGTCAAATATATATAAGTATATATTGTAACGAAACCAGAAATCATAACAACAAATACCGAAAAAAGGCATGAAAATCTTTCAAATCAGATTAGAAACGAAAGGCAGCCACAAATAAAGAGCAACAGCGACAACAACAGCAACAACAACAAAAGAGTTAGTTTCATCAGCTTTGCTTACGCAGCACAAAATAGCTCACAAGAGCTGTAAGAGCTTCAGATACATACATGGTGTACATCTCTGCAGATACAGAAACATATACAGATGCAGAAACAGAAACAGATACAGATACAGATACAGATACAGATACAGAGATACAATACTCGATGTGTAACAGTGTAAGCTGCTGCTGGCGGGGATTATGATGTTGCCACGTTTGGTCAAGCATTGCATTGGCACTCACACGTCGCCGGGTTGCCAACTTAATGACAGCTTCAAGTTTCTTCGCGCTCCCAAGATACAGATACAGCTACAGCTACAGTTTTAGCCGCTATTGCGGCTTTGACTTTGACTTTGTGGCAATTAGTTAAGGCAGCGCGCCGTACGTGGCGTATACACAATACGACTATATATCATCTCCTGTGAGCTTGTGTGTGTGTGTGAATGATGAGTGTTGAGTGCTGGCTTGGCAAATAATTGCTACTGTTCATCAGCGTCGTGAGCTGCCAACATATAATTAAGATCAGGCATTCTCCAGCACCACATACAGGTCACTCTCTCCCTCTCTTCCTCTCTTCCTCTCTCCCTCTCTCCCTCTCTCTCTCTCTCTCTCTATCTCTCTCTCTCTTTGTGTGTGCGTGCGCTTTGCTTCCGCTGTACCTTCCGTTCTCATTGCAACATTTAAAACGCAATAACTTACTAAATAAGGCAGCCAAAAAAAAGAAAAAGAAACACAAAACAACAACAACAAAGTTGTGCATTTGTGCATAACTTGGCACAATTATTAAATACTTGAAAGGCTTCACGCAAACCGGTTGATAACTCTACAGAAACTTCATAAATAATAATGAAGGATAATGATGATGATGTTGCAAGCAGTCCCCAGGCAGGGACAAGGGGCAGGGCATGCGTACAAGTAACATACCACGCCAAGCTGGCTAGCAGACAGCCATAGCTCTCTCTCCCTCTCTCGCTTATGATCTCTCTCTCTCTCTGTCTATTCCCCCGCAGACATATGCGTAGAACTTGAGCCTGAAAGTGCCGCCAAGATTTATGTATGTAAAAACTGTGCAGGAAGATAAATACAAAGTCTTGTGGCAGGGCATTAAAAGTTAACTCCTTTAAAAAAAAAACACGTCAGACGTAATGAGCAAGGGGATACCGGGTGTGGCAGCGGACAGCGAGTGTTGCGGGAGAGGCAAATGGCACCGCAGGCCGCTTTATTTGTCAAGATTAATTACAAAATTTGCGTTAAATCATAATTTTCAATGTTTTACGACGAGGCCTGGTGCACGGGGATAGGTGTAGAGTCATCCATTGATTTACGGCTGCTTGTTGGTGGTGAGTTGTTATTGTTGTTACTGTAGATTTTGCTGTTGTAGTTGTCCATTGCTGTTGACAAGCCCACGCTGACTGTTGCCAGTAAAACCAGAAAAAGAAAAGAGTGTTGGCCATGTTGCGAGTATATCTTTTGCCATTTGCCATGGGAATGACATTTATGGCCCGTACCGAAACGTATTTTTTGTCGACTATTATTTTGTGGCTTTTATTGATAAGCTGACTCTAATGCTGACCGAATAATTTGATTGGAAAACCCTATTGTACATGATTTATATGAATAAACAGTTTGTTGCCAGACGATGCATAAATAACATTTTTCTCAAGTAGGCTTACGTAATATATATGATATAGATTATATTATTTAATTTCAATAGTTATAGTTTGTTAGTTTTTCGCATTCATATTTTTGTTCTTCACGAACATCTAATTTATTATTATATTGTTTTATTTAAATTCAATGCCATTTTCATATTTACTTCGTTTTGTTGCTCTGGCTTGTGCTTTACACATTGATTAACGAAGAACAATTTGTTATTTCCATTGCAGTTGCGACTATGGCAAGATCATCAGAGAGGCAACTTAGCTTGGAATTGGCATTTCCCAGGAGTGTTTTATTTCGCCATTCAACAAGTGGAGCCATGGCACACCAACTTAGGTAAACGAGAGTTCTGCTTATGGTTGTAATTAAGGAATGCTTACTGAGGGTGGTGGCAGGGGGAGCGGATTGCAACATTGGTGCCTCTCATTAGTAGAAAATTTGTTGCTGCATGCCGTCAAAGCTTAAATCGTTTTTCAACAGAAAGCACACGCGACCAAACCAAAGCACATACATATATGTATATATATATATAAATATATATATAGATCGATCATATTCGAGCCAGCTACTAACTGCTTGCATGCGTGTGCTGTTAACTTACTAATTATGCATGTGGTACGGTTTTTAAAGGCGTTATCAAAGCGAATGGCAATCTAAATCGTAAAATTCAAAGTGACGTGTGGTATCACAATCAGTGAAAGCGTGTGAACTGAACTTGAGACATTGCCACACAAAAGAAATAAGTAAAAAATAAAAAAAAAAACAGACAACAAAAAAACCGCAGGTAAACATGAGGTAAACAGAGTGCCAGTCTCGCAGTTACTTATGCATATGCAAAGGCACTTTGAGCGACAGGGGCAACGGTCGCAGAGGGATGGGGTGGGGTTGGTAAACGGTAAGGTAGCCAACACATAAATCTACACATGTTAAACACATAGGCCAAAGGCACTTTGAATGTTGTATGTTGCTGTTGCTGTTGTTGCTGTTGCTTCTGCTGTTGCCTGTTGTCTGTCTGCCAAGTGCTACCAAGCTACACACAACATTTCCCATATCAGTTAACAATTTGTCAACTGGCTGCGACTTGAATGGCATTTTCTATACAGCAAACAATGGGCAACAACGACAACAACAATTTCTGATTTCAATTCATGAAATGCACAATTGTTGTCGCTGCCTGCCTTCAATTGGCAACAAGAACAGCAACAACAACAACAACCACATTCGCTAAAAGAGAGAACAAAAACAAGTGTAATTACCCAACAGACTACTCCAAATAAGTGATAAGTTGAAGTCAGTTCTGTTACACAAGCGGCCTTATCACACACTGCAACACGTCAATGTTATACGCATATAAATATAAATATACTCGTAAATATATATGTACAAATTTTAGCTTCAGCCAGTCAGTCGGCATAAAACCTTTTGTGTTTCTATGGTGAAGGTTTTAGATTGTTTGAGCTGTGAGTCAAACAAAAGTAGCTGTTAACAATAAATCATTTACTTGGATTAGAATTGACTCATGGCGATTTAATCAATTTAACTAACATTGCGTAGTTTTCATGATTTCGCTTACAATTCTCAAACAGTTATGACGGCCAAATAGTTCTTAATAATGTTCGAGAATAATTTTAAGCCTTGTTGAAAAATAATAAGTATAAATTAGTGTCTTGTTTATGCGGAAAGTAAGCTCAAACTGCTCAACAGAGCTGAGAGCAGTTCTGTCTTTGCCAGCCTTTTCAATGACATATGGGTTAGAAAGGAGTTTGTAATACTTTTAACCTTGGCAAGTTACTCAAGCTCTAAACATTTAAGACACAACATTGGATGCAGCTACAAAAAACCAGTCTGGGTTGTTTTATACATTTTATCAGTCACAGGCAAATGCTAAGTCTGATGAAGTGAAGCATAGCCTCAACAATATTTACGGGTATTTTATGGCCGGAGGAATGGCCATAGGTACTAGTTGGTTCCAGCTGTTACTGGCTTATCTGGGCCTGTACAAGCTTCTATTGCTTTGGCTATAAATCCGCAACTATTACCTATCGACTGTTGGAATCTGCAGCTCCTGTGGCTGTGTTATTGAGCCTACTGCCGCTGGAGATAAATGTGCCCGCGAAAGCTTTGACAAGCGATTAACTTTACAATTTATCGCTCGGTCGCCAAAAAGCGCTCAATTGAAGGCAGCTCCAGAGCACCGGCTGCCAATTGTCGTAAATCTTTTGCAGCCCAGTTGCAACTGAGAGTGCTCAGCTTATGCCACTCGTAGTTGGTTGGCTGTCTTATGTTGCATTATTAATTTAACTAGTTGTGCAACAAGTGCCTGGGTCAGCGCCTTTAAAATCCACGCCCTGATTAAAACATCAGCGCAAGCAACCAAGTTGTCTACAGACGGGCAGGTAGGTTGTAGCAGGTTGCTAGCAGGTTGAAGACAACTTAACTGCCTGCCTCAGTCTGCTTCACATATTTATTTATGCATGTTTAAACATATTTAATGTCAATACGGGGGCAGCCAGGACCAACACGCATTTAATTATGCCCAGCGCATTAAATTAATGAACATTTTTATCAGCGTGCCGCGACCAGTGTCGAGAGGCGACTCCAGCATCGAGAGACTCGACACAGTCCAGTGGTTTTAAAAACAGAATCCGGTAGCTGTTCCAATATATTTATTGCAACGTCTCTTCTTCAGCTGCTGCTGTTGCTGTCGTTGTCTTCGTCGCCAGCGTCAGCGCCGGGTTTTAATCGCATTTAATATATCATTTTATTAAGCCAATCGTTGACTGGGTGCTGGATGCTCTCTCGGTTGCCACTCGATTTGTTGCAAGCCTGCCAGCCTTCATCGTCTGCTTAGCGTCTGGGTTGGTAATTTGCGTAATGCCGTCATAAGCTTGTCAGTTTATCATTCGCAACACTTCTCGCCTTATATTAATTTCTTGAATGACTTTAAGCGGCGCCTGTGGCGACATGTGATGACACCTAACCAAAATGCACCAGCTAATGTACAATTTGCTAGTTTTTGTTGGTTTGTCGGCTTGACAGCTAGTTGAAACTGAGTTATGCATGGCATTTCATTTCCGAGTAAACTGCTGTACGCAAGTGTTGCAGCTGCAAGCACATTGCAAACGGCATTCCGCAACTCAAGTCAAGCAGCCAAGCAACCCAACAACCCAAAGCAACAAGCAAACCAATCCAACTAACCAGGCCAATTGTCAAATGCTTTGGCCAACCAGCCACCCTACGAGTTCTCCTTAATGCCCGTGAATGCGCCTCTGGCTAAAGCTGACTCGGACTCTGACTCCGAGCTCTCGAACTGGCCACATACATAAGAAACTGGCAGGCAGAGCCTCGGCTGAACCTGGCGATTTCTTTGCGGCTTTATACTTATTGTGGCAGCTACCTTTTTTTGTTGCCTTGCCCTGCCTTTAATACTGTGGCCATTATGTAGAGTTGCGCGCTAGTTAGCAGATGTCCAAGGAAACTTGATACAGATTAGATAAACCTAAAGGAAGACTTACTCTCACACAATCCGATGTCTTAGTTTCATTGCAAAACTAATTATATACGAGATATAAATGTTAAATGACTTAAAATTACTTTGGTTTTTTTTTTAAACTTAATGTGTTGTATGCTGAAATATATGTATGTTATATGGCTGCTGTTTGAGGTAGCCTCTCGTAAAGTAGCCCTCGCACAATTGACAATAACATGCATTTTATTAATACGTATGCTCGTATATTATGCTCTGTTATTCTGCAGAAATGCGCCTGGACAGCAATTGACTGCAGCCCGAACTTGTCAATCATGGAGCAGAGCAGAGCTGGATTTGTAGAATGGCTAGCGTACGCTTCCTGTTGGGTAAGCTGATACATGCAATGGCAGGCAAATTGATCTTCACTCACAACAAAAACAATGGCGAGTCTGTGACAAAGACACACACATTCACTGACACACACACACACACACAGACTTAGTTGACCCCGACAACGAAACACAAACTGTATGCCTTGACCTCTACCGCCTGTCGAGACTAATTTATCAAATGGTTCATAAAAGCCAAACTGAGCACATGAGACGACGCATAATTAAGGCAAAAGTAGAGAAAGAACACAAATGCGTTTTTAAACCATTGAGCAACGCCTCTTTCTAACAGTTTTTTTTTGTTACTATTTTGAATTCCATTCGAAATTTTTTTTGTCTATCTGTATTTTGTTTGATTTTCGTTAATTGCCGCTTATTAATCTTTGGGCCATTTGCTGGCCACGAAGAGTCGAGCCAGTTTAATGGTCTTACAAAATACAAATTCTAATTAATGAAATATTTAAAAGTCGAAGATGGAAAGGAAAAACAGTTTGTAAAAACAAAAAACTATTTTGGCTATTGTTTGGACGCCTAAGCAATTAATAATAAAAAAAAGTTAGAAACAGGCTCAGTGATAGAATGTGAAGAATCTCTACACTTCAGCTGTTAACAAAGCCTATTCTTTGTGTTTCTTTTATGGACTGCTCGCAGTGCTGAGTTTTTGAAACAGCTCTCATCACACATGACAAATTCCACATTAATCTGCAGCTGCTTCCATAGAGCGTATAATTTTTGAACAATTTTTGGACAGAGAAATTAAGTAATCAATCATTTGGCTTCGCACAGATATCAAAGATACCGCTTTTAAAAAAATACAAATTAGTTGTAGATAAAACCTAAATGTTAACATGAAACAGGCGACAAAAATAATCTAGTGACTTCAGCTTAATAAAGAGAGAGGCAGAGAGTGAGAGAGTGTGAGAGAGAGAGAGAGAGAGAGCCATATCTGGAGAGAGAGAGAGAGAGAGAGAGAGAGAGAGAGAGAGAGAGACATATCTGGAGAGAGAGAGAGAGAGAGTGAGAGAGAAATATGTCAATATGGTGTACCTACTTTTTGTATAGCTAAAAAGCTTAAAAAAAGACTAGAGTTGAAAGTGGATGGAGCCAGAAATCGCATGTGATTGAAATGAAATATAAAATTACATTAAATGACCGGATGTAATTGCGGTGGTCGTGCCAGTCGCTCAACTCGCTCAGTAGCTGCCGCACAGCTCTTACGCTGGCCCAATGAATCATGGCTAAAACGAAATACGTCGCAATTGTAGTCAGGCAGTGGCAAAACAAAAGACTCAGGCAACGAACTTGAATCACTTGATGTGGGCGCACGCTCACATAACCAAAAACAAAAAGGAATCTCTAAAGCCCACGCTGCACTTAATAAAAAAATTGTTATAGTGGGCCCAAGTCAATGATTCGTTTCGAGTATCTTATCAGAGTCGAACGATTTTGTCAACTGACAATTGCGGCACATTAAATGCGTCTTTTTCACGCCACACGGCATTTTCAATGCGCATTTACTTGTCAATTATTTTTTGATAGCATGATAAGAACACATGCAAGCCGGTTGAAGCTGAGGCTTGAACGCAAAACGGCAGTCGACCAGCAGCATCTCGGGACTTGCTGGCCAACTCTTAGTTGGTTGTTTGCTATGTGGCAGCCATTTGCATATTAAGCGCTTGTTAGTCTTGGCGTTGAGTTTTAGTTATGGCCAAAAACATTTGAGTACTTGTATTAGACCATTTTGGGTAGTGACTTTCTATGGCACACAGACAACAGGCAATTGCCAACTGGCGACTGGCATCACAGATCTTGGTCAATGACACAAATAGTTGACATTTGTTGCTTTCAGTAACTTAATTTATGAGTGAAAGATGTGGTCAATGATATCAGCTGAAACATTCATCACGAATTCACAATAGTTAAACTTTAACAAATAAATATCCAAGTGAACGAAAAAACTATTATGGTCTCTAATTTTTGAGCATAAATCAAAAATCAACTTTACTTGTACTTGTCAGTTAATTGAGAAGCTAAACAACGCAAAGGCTTGCTCTAACAAAAATAAATTAAGTTTAACTTGTAATATCTTGATGAATGAGAGATATTGGAAATGCTTGCTTTTATTAAGAGCCAGCTGACCTACTTACATATAAGATCTGTCTTAGCAGACAGCATGTTCATATTGCCGTGCGTGCAACAATTTTCGTTGAAAACAATTTGCGAAACAAAAATGGAAAAAAGTTGTAGCAGAAAATTAAAAAAAAAGAAAATTGTTGCTGTGCATATGCCACGCACGTAGCAACAACAATAACAATAACAACGACAACAACAACAATCAGACAATCATGCACATAATCATGCTATCAATATATGGCAATTATCAATGAAATTTATAACAATCCACGAAATGTAACGAAAACATAACCGACCAATAAAAATTTCATTTTCATAAGGAATCAGAAATCGGGACAGAGCAGGGGTATACAGGATTGCAGCAGCTGCATTTAATGTGGATGCCGCGTGCTGTGTCCAGCTCGTTATACTCAAGATATTGCTGTTGTTATTATTGCTGTTGGTGATATTGTTGTTTCTGGTTTTGCCTGCCTGTGATCTGCATCATAAAAACGTGCCAGATTGATGCGTGATTGAAATGCCAATTGGCTTCAAGTCTCAGAGTCTCAGAGCCTCAGAGCTGAAACTCAAGCTGCCTCGTTATTGTTGTTGTTGTTTTGTGAATTGTCTTGGAAATACATTTGAGGCACGTTGCTTGGACTCGGACAGCGCGTGTGCTTACCGTTAAGGCTGCGTAAGAGGCCTTCAATCGTATCTTCAATCTTCCCTCCGGTTTTTCTCCATCTCATTCTCATACTCTCCGTTCTGTAGATCTCTGTTTGCATTGTCATTGCAGACAATTAGAACTGGCTCTGATTCCGAGTAGCATTTGACTACAATTTGCTTAAAAAGGCCGCTAGATAAACGATAAACAGTTGTTACGGTTACCTTTGGCCATATACGATCGCAGCATGTTGTAGCAAGCAATTTCCGCCGCTAACCGTTCGGTTCTTGTCCATGACATGGTCAAGACCATGACTAGTTTCTTTTCTCTTCTTTGGTGTACTCTTTGCTGGTGGGTAAGTCCACATTGTTATAAAATCCGAAATGCATACAACTGGTTAGAAATTATTTGATTTCTGTTGTTTAAAATCAATAAAAGTATTAAACTGTAAACGGTATGGATTGATATCATAAGTATCATAAAATCAAATATAACTTTAGTTAAAGCACTAACCATTTAGCTTGAAAATAAAATATAAAAATATTTTGCTAGCTTTCTCTTAAGAAAATATACTATAGGAACATTGATTATATAATTTATTTCAGTGTATATTATCTTCGTTCTTGAATATCGGTTTTCCTTGTAGCATTTCTATTAATATTTATGGGCTTGTCGTTGACGCTTTGCCTGGCCGTGATGAATGAGTGTATTGAGGCAGCTGCAGATCTTCGAGCAGCAACTGGCGCCAGTGAACGGCGACAGGCACTGAAGTGCCTGCCATGTAGGGCAACTGGACAACTTAGACAACTGGACCCACTGTGAGGGAGAGAGAGTGAGATCGAGAGTGAGAGAGACAGAGAACAGCGAGTAAGTTGGTTAACTTAGTCGTAGATATCAATGAGTGGCAGCAGACTGCAAATGACTCTTATCTCTTGCTGGCAACAAATTGACCATTTCAATTAATGAAAAACGCACTTAAACATTAAAGAGATGCTCGGACTGTCGGTGTTGGCGCTAATGATGCGATGAGATGCGCGTGGATGCGAAAACCAAAACAGAGTTTCGAGTTGTAGTAGTTATTGGAGCAGGAGACGGTGGTGGCGGCACAGGTTGAGGCAGAGGCAAAGGTAGATGCAGATGCAAAGATGTAAGGACGGACACCGCTCCCATTTGCATATTTTGTTGTCGGTTTTGCTGACGACGATGATTATTGCCGGGGCCAAGAGATTAAGCGCGTAAATTTGTCGTTAAAAATCATGTTGAGATCGCGCTGTGAGCTGCGAGTGTCTCGAAGAGAGAGCGGGGGCAAAACAGACGTTGTTGACAGAGACACGCGATTAAGTTGCGGGCAGGCCAAAACAGCAGCTGTTGAGATTTAACAGTGTTTATCCACTGCTCTTAAAAAAAGAGATAAAAAAATATATAGCCGTCGGGATATTTGGTTAGAATAGCTAGAGACTTTAAGCTAGAAATATGTACTCGTTAGTATCTGTTTGCTTGCAGTCTTAAATCATAAAAATGTCCTTGGTTGGATAACTGAATTAGATTGTGGCTAAATTCAAACACATATCTGTCCTTTCTCGCTTATATCATACTTTACAGTGCTCAACTTTGAAAATCATTTACATTTGTTGCCACAATACGAGCAGAGTATGGCATAGTCGTTTCTATTACATTTTCCATATTCTTATTTGGTTTTTTTTAAATTTTTTTTATTTGCTTGACTGGTGCTTTGATTACGGCGCTTTTTGATTGATGGCTGTCGCCTCACGGCGCATGCTCTGCATATCTATGAGGCTGACTACCTAACTGAATGACTGAATGAATGACTGACGTACCGATTTACTGTTGCCTGATAAGCAGCGTGCACAAGCTAAAAAAGAAACAAAAAGAAGTGGCAATTACATGAAGTGGAGCAGCAGCATTCGGCATTTCGGCATTTCGGCATTTCGACATTTGCATAAATTGACCGCAACGAAATGAAACGAAACGAGAGACTTAGGCAACAAACTTGATTACAATTTGCACACTCGTCTCGTCTTGCCTCGTTTCGTTTCCCGTTTCGTCTCATTGCTTTCTTCGTGACTAATTTGAGGCGACGTTTTCCCAGTCTCAGAGCCAAAGTCAGAGGCCACAGGTCATTTGTAATTCGGTTTCTGCCAAAGCAATTTTCGATGTTACAATTTCGCTGCAGCAACCCAATTTGCCTCCAACTCAAACGTCGCTCACAGCCACTTGCCCCCAATTTCCGCCCCCTTCAGGCCTGCTTCCTTTCCTCAATTATGTTCTGAATCAGCGCATGAAATACTTTAAATGCGCATCTTAATTAGTTTTGCCAGCATTATAATCTTTTTAATTGGCCGCTTGGCTTCCTTTTCGGATTTCGTCATATATATTTATACCCATTAAAAATGGCTACAATGGGCACAATAAAGTTGTTTAAAATTCAAAGAATTTTCAATCTTTAGATATCCGCAGAGAATTGAAGAATCTAAAATAGATAGGAAAATGCCATAAAAATATGAATAATAAAGAAAGAGCAACTATAAATATCTACGAATATATTTCAGAGCATTCCGGAGCTGAATAGAGGGTATCTACAGGTT